CTATAGCTGATGTGTCCTCTTACGTTTAAAATTGGCGCCATGTAGGTAATACTTAGAGGGAAGGTTACCTTGCATTGCAGTATTTTACAAGTACAGTGTAGATACTCGGTGAATAACGAACAAAATTCAATAAGGTCATCAAAATCCAGACAATTCCAAAACAATGTCATGCTTTCCACTTGTGCTTAAAGAAACCTTATTAGAAATGTGCCATTCGGCAACTGTATCCTTCCGCAGAATTGTGTGGACCATATTAATTTTGTAATCGATAGTTTGGTATTATCTGAAGAATGTAAAGTACGTTTATTGAACAAATTAGCCGTACATAGCAAATAACATTTTGTGTTTTACTTCGTGTATAAATTTTATAGACATATTTGTTATTCAATGATATCGCTTCGTCATGCAGCGCATGCGCAAGAAGCCGGTTCATTTTGTGGTTGGACATCGGTAAGGTGCTGGAGAGTGTGTTGTAGTGTATTTAATTATAAAATTGTTTTTATTTCCTATATTTACATGTCTCACAATTGCAGGTAAACGCCGAGTCGAACTGGGGAAAGGGATGCTATTAAGAATTAATTAGGACGGATTATCTGGATTACAGTACAGTAAGTAGAGTCCACGTCAATGTGGGGTATAATCTACTGACCGTGACACGTCGACTGCCCAAGAAGCACAATTTCATTTATGTATGGCACTTTGATTATAATGTAATGCTTGAGGTCAATTTTTTAATAACGTAATTATGTAACTTTCGGTTTCTGTTTATACTATGTTAAGGATTTTATGGTGACATACTAGCACTTGATATGGCTTGCCATAAGGGATCCCCAAATTCTTAATTTTGTACAATTTAGTAAGATATTGTTTCGATGTGCCTTACATATTGTATGTTTATTATGCAGTGTTACTGTAACGACTTGGCGCGAATCAGGACATCCCTACAATGCAGCAAGCAGTGATGGAGGAGGAAGCCGCTTATGAGCCCCCATCTCTTAAATATGATGATGCTTTTCCAGCATTACCAGAGTCTGTCACGTCAGCCTCCCCAACCGTAAACCAGCTTGGACAATGGAACAATAAAATGAGAATTGGTTCCTCTGTGGTTACCCAGGTGAGCAGCTTTATTGTGCCATATTGTACTGTGGTGAGCAGGAAATGTGTGATGGAATTTATAATGCAAGGAAACTGTATATATGAGAGATGAGGTTCTTATAGCAGTGAGGTACATTTTTCAGAATGTGAAAGAGGTTACTTGAAAGCTACTTTTTATGCCTTAGGTTTGTTGTAATACCCTGTGACTTTCAAGACTTATTATGACTTCACCTAGGTTGTTTATACTGGGACTGAGAGCAAAAATGCAGTAGTCCTAAGGGAATTTTATAAAGCATGAAATATAAAGTTGTGCTTGCTAGGAAGAAAATGAATTTTGTGTAGAACATCTTGGAAAAGACTGCAGACTGCAGAGTTTAAAACATTAGAATAGCTCTTTGAAATGATTTTGGGTTGGATGAAATTTAAAGCACAAGTGTACAAGGGAGCACTGAGAATTAAAAGGAAGATTACAGCAATGGAAATCTTATGGAAGTGGGTGCTGAGCAAGAAAAGGCCTGGAAGACAGCAGGAAATGAAGACTTTAAGTGCCCTAAGCTGATGACTGTTGTATGCATATCTCAAGACTTGCAGAAGGTTTACAAATGTCTTTCATATTTCAGACATAGTGAAAGCATATATGGATGGAAACTTTTATGGATGCAGATTTGTTGTAAAGACTGATTTTAATAGGGAAATATTTGAGACGAAGAATATCACTGCAGCTCTATTTAGATTTCATATTCTCCCATAAGTAAGACCAGCCCTCAGCATGTATAAACGTCCCTGAAAGAGAACAATCTTCCCCTGAAGAACTACATTGTTAAGTTTGTGAGTTCATGTCCTCGCATTACATTTGTTGATTGTGGAGCATCTGCAAATTAGACATATCAGGAGCTGTTATTGTACATTAAATAGAATATGTTAGGATAAAAAAAAAGAATACAAATTTTATTATTATTATTTTATTATTGGTTTCTTTTGCATGATTTTATTAAGAAGTCAGATTGTTTATTTATTCGTAGTGTTCTGAGATTGCGCCTTAACGTTTTCCAGGAGCGTTGGCTAGTGCAGTGCAGCCAGTTAATTATGAAATATGCACTATTTAGACAGTTAAACATGGACATATGAGTTTTGTCTTGGAAACAACAGCTTGTCTTCAGCAGTACATTGAAGTGAGAGACATCATTGTAGTTTAGTTATTTGTGCCATGTTATGGAGTTGAGGCCCATCTCTGATGTTAGTGGAATGGAAATTGCAAACTTTTTTTAGATCTTGCCTGTAGTTGAGACAGGAAATAATATAAATGTCACATAATTTTCCTAGATATTGGTATACAACCCAGTATTGTTTCAAAGTAAAATGCAAGCTTAGTGGGCAGCTGGCAAGTTAGAGCAAATAGAATCTGTCATGTTTCTCAACATCAGGATGAATGAAGTTTTACCTTTCAGATAAAATATATTTTACAGCTGGGTTTGTAACTTTGACTCTTGAATATAATATATTACAGCATCTACAGAAATAAATGCATCACTCTCTAAGACTTCAACAGATCGCTACATTGTATTCTTGTGTGTACAGGTTTTCAGAGTGCCTTTTGAGGAACGCAAATTTGATCACAGTGATAAATTTGGTGAAGGTGAATCTTTGCGTACTTGTCTAATGATCATGAAGGAAACTGGGGCACATATTGAAATATCATCATCAAAAGATATGTCCCTGACATTCCTAGTGACTGGGAAACAGAATGCAGTATTGGATGCAAGACGAAGGATTCTGACACATTTTCAAACACAGGTAAAATAGAAAAATGGTGAAACATAAAAATAAGATTCTAATTTTTTGTTTGCTTTGCTGTAACCTTAGTTTTTCAAATGTGTTTGTAAGCAGCATAACTGCTGTCAAAATGGGAATTGCTCCCATGGTATCTGTTTTAAAGAATTAATGAAGAGACATATTTCTTTTTACTGGGCTTTTGTTGTTAGTGGTATATATTGCTTACCTATGTCTCTATTGATCCTACATAACCAAGCAAAAATGTGACTTCAATTTGGTAGGTGCCCCTGGAACACTCGGTGTTGTAGCTGAGGATTTTCATATTGTTCCTTAGTAAATCATTATTGGATAGAATCTTTAATGGACCATGACAATTTATGCCTCATTATTCCCTAGTCGCCTTTCACAATCTTTCATTTTATGACATTCATTACAGCTTTGATAAGTAATTGATAAACTTCCAAGAAACCATGTAGCAAATATCAGTACATTGACGGTACCTTTTCATTATTTTTTTTTTAAAGAATTCTGAAGTTATTGGAAGGAATACCATTGGCACAATACTGCTAAGAATTTTTATGGAGAATGATGTTTGTCTCAATTTTTGCAGGCGAGTATGTCCATCTCCATTCCAAAGGAGCATCATCGTTTTATCCTAGGAAAAAGTGGTACCAAACTGAAGGAATTGGAAAAGACGACAGCAACCAAGATCTCTGTACCCAATATGGCTGACAGCTCAGATAAAATTACCATCACTGGAACAAAGGAAGGCATAGAGAAAGCAGTGCATGAAATTAAAGTAACATCGGATGAACAGGTAGGGACAAAACAAAATGTTGTAAATCTGAATTTGTGCATAAATTAAAAGGGGCTGTAATTATCTTTGTTGCACTCACACGTGCATGTGTTTGGATGTCACACATTGTTACATGATTTATGTGAAAATATGTGTAGGCTTGTGACATATATGGCGTGGTAGGTAAGTGACTCGCGCGTTTGCAGCACCCCTGAGTGGAGAATTTTGGTCTTTATTACAAAGATATTTTTCATGTCTGTGTTGTTTTCTGCTGTGTCAGTGTTCATATTGTTGTTCATTTTTCTTTAATATAGATTTATAATTATTTTATGTGAATCATTTCAGTTAAAGCAGGTATATGAATATGTGTCTATGTCAGAGACATATCATTGATTGATCTTCGTGCTTTCAGTCCAAGCAAGCGTATGAGCGCATCTCTGTGCCAAAGATGTACCATCCGTTTATCTACGGAGCACATAACGAAAAGGTGACAGCTCTTATGAATGAGACTGGTGTAAGGATCAACATCCCTCCTCTTTCAGTGCAGAAAGATGATATTACTATTGCAGGAGAGAAGGAGGGAGTGATGACAGCTAAAGAGCGCATTCTCAGCATCTATCAGGAAATGGTGAGTTCACTTTGTGAACCACAGGAGGAGGATATCAGATATTTAGTTCTGGACATTGTAGTTTTTCTGTGTGGATACAAGTACAAACTGTTTTAATGCCACTCAGGCATGTATTGTTTTATTATAGGAAAAGAAGTGCACACTTGTGTCAGTAGAAGTGCCAAAGTCTCAACACAAATATGTGATTGGTCACCGTGGCAGCACCATTGCAGAAATCTTGCATACGACTGGAGTCAGTGTAGAGATGCCTCCCAATGACTCCAGTACAGGCACCATAAATCTTCGAGGTCCTCATGACAAACTTGGTGTCGGTGGGTATTTGTACAAGTGAACAGAGATAAACTCAACTTTGCCATTTTTGCTACATCAGAGAGATGCTCATAAATGATTATTAAGTTTTATCACTTGCTATCATAATTTAATCTTGAGGTCACCACACTTTTTATAGCTTGAGATATTATTGTTGCCGTTGCTTAATTAAAAGCACGTTAAAGCATGATAATTGATGTATCAGCCTGCTTTAGGGATTTAGATGAAAGATAAGCTACATTATAAGAATTGTATTAGGAAATGTTAGCATTTGCATGTATGTTCTGCTGTTTTGCGTAATACTGAAAATCACAGCATGAAATATATTAATGAAATAACAGGTTGGAGACCTGTTGATTTAGGGCCACTGTATATTAAGGTGTATTAATGTATGGATTTGTAGCACTGAGCATGGTGTACGAGAAGGCAAATAGTGTTCTCACGGCTACTGTCGATGCTCCAAATTGGATTCACAAGTACATCATTGGACGTAAGGGTGCTAACATACGTGGCATCACACAGGACCTAACAAAGGTATTTCAATGTTAAAGTCATATAAATAAATCTTGTGATTTCATATTCTTTAATGTTGATAAATGTTAGTAATTATGTAATGTCATATCAGGGCTTTAGTGTGTATATATTTGTCATATATTCTTAAGCATGGGTGCTGAAGGAAGATATTTTCAGTTTGGTGAAAAATTGTGGGTGTAGAAAGACAAATTAAATATAAGAATGCTCTAATTCCAAAAGCATATTCTTACTTCTGTGCCATTGTCAACTGTCTGCAGACAAAAGAGACTGAGCTTGTTTATGCAGAAGCTGCAGCACTTAATTTTAGACAAGTAACAGTATTCAGTATTTCAAGGTCATGGTTTAATCATCTGTACAGCATGATTGTATATATTGTCTTTCCAAATTGTCATTTCCAGGTGCACGTTGAATTCACTGACAAGGAAGACAGAATCAAGATTGAAGGACCTCCAGAAGAAGTAGAGAAAGCTCAGGCTGCTTTAGAAACCATGGCAGCAGACCTGATATCCAAGTTAACATTTGTGGTGATGACGGTCGATCCAAAGTTCTATAAACACATTATTGGGAAAAGTGGTGCTAATGTTAATCGGATGAAGGATGAACTTGGTGTGGTGATTAACATTGCAGAGAATGATGGTAACAATGTAATCCGTATAGAAGGAAACAAATCTGGTGTAGAAAGGGCAAAGCAGGTATTATGATCTATTCATCTGTTGGTCGTGTTATCAGTGTTCATTCTTTCTGTCTATGTTGTAAGATTTTTTCACTGTCATTCAAATATTTGAAGCTCCGGGCGTAAAAATATTGCATGTGTGGTGATTTTCTTTTGCTTCATGTGCAGAGAAATGTTGAAAAATTATATTGTGTGTCTGTTATGAGAGCAACTAAAATTATGATTTCTGTGTCACATTGTAATTCATGAGACTTCTTTAAGTTTGAACAAGAAGTAGAAAACATTTAAATCATTCATTTCTTTCTTTGTTGTAGGAACTTGAAGATATGGTTCATAAATTGGAAAATGAGAAGGAGAGGGATATCATCATAGATCATCGTTTCTACCGCAATATCATCGGCAGTAAAGGAGACAATATCCGTGAGATCCGAGAGATGTTCAATCAAGTACAGATAACTTTTCCTGGCCCAGGTAAGTTATTTTTAGACACAGTTCACAGTTATGTAGTCTTATTACCTGTGATGGTGGCTCTCAATTTGGGACATTGTTATGTAGTCTTATTACCTGTGATGGTGCCTCTGAATTTGGGACATCATGATAGATAATTTTATGTTTCATTTGCATGTTAATTCTTTGTCATCGTACATTTTTGACAGATCTTTAATTTAGGTCCTTTGTATATAATCTCTGCATTATTAGATGAGCATGTTTTATGTTTTTCTTGTATGGTTTAACATGTGCTGCATTCACAGGGGAAAAGCGTGACGTTGTGAAGATCCGTGGCCCTAAAGAAGATGTGGACAAGTGTCATAAGTACTTGTTGAAAATTGTGAAAGAACTGAATGAGAGCAGTTACATGATTGAAGTACCAATCTACAAACAGTTCCACAAGTTTGTTATTGGTAAAGGTGGTGCCAACATTCGAAAGGTGAGTATGATTCATGACTCTTGTAATTTACTCAATTTTTTGGTGTGTAATTTGTCACATACAAACACTGGTTAAAACTGGAACTCCATCAAATTTCTTTTAAATCCATTAATTGGTTTGTTGCCTTGTATATTTCTGCCAGGCGATGGGGTTTCTCTGTTAGATTTTTCTGTTCTTGATTTCATACTTAACAGAACTTGCAGATAGGACTCGGGAGGTAAATTATTGTGTGAAAATATCTTCCCCACAGTAAGAAGAGCTTTATTATGTGTTGTTTGTAGCAGATAATTTCATGCATTAATAGTAGGAGGAGGATTAAAAATTGTTTTTAAGAACATACGTTTTTACATTTATTTTTTGTTTTCGGTTGGAATTGTGAATAATATTGGATCTGTTTGATGTTGTGTAGATTCGTGATGAAACTCAGACTAAGATTGACCTGCCAGCAGAAGGTGAGAAAAGTGATGTCATCGCTATAACTGGGAAGAAAGAGAATGTTGAGGAAGCTAGGGAGAGGATCCAGAAGATACAAAATGAACTAGTGAGTCTCTTAAGTATTTTGTGGCATGATTTTATTTTCCTTGCTGGGAAACTTCCACTTTCTCAGAGAAACTTGACAAACTGGGTAACAATCTGAGCTTCATGGAAAGCCTTTTACTCTTACAGCACAATTTCACAATTACCTATCACATTTTACGTTCGACAACCTGTCTCTCCCAGTACCGTGAAGATCGACTAATGGCCATACATGACCACCTTCATTTTTTTTTATGAAAATAAGTGAATGACTGGATTAAATTAGGTATATGTGAATAAAGCAGTACACTATTTTATAATGAGTACATGATATTTACAGGCTAATATTGTGACAGAGGAGATTGTGATCCCGCCACAGTTTTACAACTCCCTGATTGGTGCCGGTGGGAAACTTATTCATGCCATTATGGAGGACTGTGGAGGGGTTGCCATTAAATTTCCTCAAGCAGAGAGTCGCAGTGATAAGGTTCGTTAAAACTGGTTACATGTAAGGTCAGACAGCATCGACTTGTATCTTGTTATTTTTTTTATAGTTTTATTACCACTTATGATTTTGTTATCATTGTAATCAAAGGTAACAGTTCGTGGTCCAAAGGAAGATGTGATGAAGGCATGCCAGCAACTTTTGGAACTCACAACAGAACGACAACTGTCGAGTTACTCGGCCGAAGTTCGTGCTAAACCCCAGCATCATAAGTTCCTTATCGGGAAAAACGGTGTCAATATTAAGAAGATTCGTGATCTTACTGGTGCTCGCATTGTGTTCCCAACTGACAAGGATGACGATAAGGAGGCCATAACTATTATTGGAAAACAAGAGGCTGTCGAACATGCCAAAGCAGAGCTTGAGGCCACTATTAAGGAAATAGTAAGTTTCATGAGGGCAGGCTTTTATGTGCAGGAATAAATCATGAAATTAGAGCAGAATCATTATTCCATTCAAGACATGCCATCACATTGGCTTATCAAAAGCACGGATTAAAGTATGTGCGTAGTGTTTGAAATTCAAATTTTTCTTTAACTTCAGTTTAATTTTCAAATGTATAAATATACAAATCAGTATCTGTTCATGTAATAAAATTTCTGATTTGAACCAACTTTTCACTCTGCTTTGATATTTATGCTGTTTCAGTAGGCTGTATAGATAGTAATATGGAAGTAAGTTAATTATTTTGTGTGATTTTGACTGCAGTTTTTACCATTTGATTTTTAATTACATGTAACAGGTATTTGTTATAACATGTTTTCCAAATGTTTTGAACTCTCATAACGGACTTCTGCTTCAGAAATCCTTTCAAAACTTTGCATAGAAAACCCCTTGGAAAGAGATGATGTGGATGACTGTTTGTCATTACATTGTAGAAGTAAGGATGGTTTAGTCTTGTATGATATGTGAGGCAAACAAGACATGCAGAATATGATAGCTTCCACTTTTTTAAGAATGGGATATGAATATCAATTTTTTGTTTCTGTAACCCACAGGACAACATAGTTGAAAGTGATATGAGTGTGGAGCCAAAATATCACCGTCATTTTGTGGCTCGACGCGGAGACGTCCTTCATCGCATCTCAGATGAGTGTGGTGGTGTAATGATCTCCTTCCCCCGCCCGGGGGTGCAGAGTGATAGGGTGGTGCTGAAGGGAGCAAAGGAATGCATTGAAATGGCCAAGCAGAGAATACAAGAGATTGTTACTGATCTGGTAAGTTTGTATTCACATTCCCAGCCAGACATACATTGATCAGCAAGGGAATATTTCTTTTTGTGTAATGCCCATCATTGCATCAGACAACATTAGGAAGATTTTAAAAATTTCATATGTAGTCCGTGCATTGCTGTTGTGAGGAAGAAGTTTGAAGAAAATGCCATTTGCTTTTGACTTATAGCCCTAAAATTTATTCTGTAGTAATTTATTCTTTTGATATTCCTCAGTGTCTTAACTTAAGACTCTGTCCATACACATATATCCATATGGAGGACCATGGTACTTCATAAACCTGTCAAGCCATCCATTGAAAGCTTTAAAATTATCAGTCTCTGATTTTATAGTTGTCTGTAATTTTCTGTCTGATTGTTGTTCCATTGATTGGTAGGTCTGAAGAACTTGTTTCATCAAACCATTCCATCAACCCATGCTTTATTTTGTGGCTTTATGATTTGTATAATTTTTATTCTTAACACTTCGTGAGAAGTTTGATTTTGTGTTCGGAGATTGTACTGTTTGAAAATACGTTTCTTTAAACTATCTTAAGAGCTCATTTTCTGCTTATAAATGTGAACTATTCGATAAATTAAATTCCATAATGAAAAATTAATGAACATGAGCTTGTACAGAGAAATAGATGTAATATGTGAGATATTTGATAAGACTAAAAGTTTTGCCATCTTTTCACGTGTTTCATTATTTCACTGTTGCATTGTATTGTTTTCTTTTGGTCATGTAAATAAAATTAATTGATTTAAAATAGTGTATTTACAGCTATAAGTAAATTTGATTTTCAGGAATCAATGATCAGTATAGAGTGCATAATACCCCAGAAGCATCATCGTACTGTCATGGGAGCTAAAGGTTTCAAGGTACAGGGAATCACATCTGAATTTGATGTGCAAATTAAATTTCCTGATCGTGATGCTCAAGGTATGGATTCTTGGTATATGGTTACAATAATGATTAAGATTGTGCTTAAAGTTTGTTTTGAATTGACATTAACAGCTTGTGTAGTAATTTTTATAACATCTACAGGTCACTGATTGCATTAATAACCATTTATATGTGTATAGATTTCTTATCTATTTGCAGAATAAATGGTTTCATAAGAATTGAATACATTCTATGCTCTCTCCTATGACACGTTTGTGTGCGCTCCACATGAAAACCATTGGCTTAAATATAAATATGTGCATTTATGTACATTGAAAAGGTATGTTTTTGTTCAGTTTCTGGAAGAGGTAATCACACAGACTTATGTCTGGTGGATGTTTCTGTTCCATTCTGTGAACAGATCAGTCAGTCTTGGTTGTATGATTGACCATTCTGAAGAATAACAGCACAAAGAATGATTTCTTTTGCTGCTACTTTGTAAGAACTAAGGGCGAGCACCATTTCCTGAATATTATGGTAAAGCTCAAGGTGTGGGCAGAGCTGCTTTCAGTAAAATTATAACAAAGTAAAAATTATGACACATTCCAGAGGAATATCACAATCACCAGGATGAAGGGCAACAGCCAAATGGTGTTGTTGAGGAACATGAACCTGTACGCATGTGTGACGTGATCCGTATCACTGGCAAACAAGAAAACTGTGAGGCAGCTAAGAGAGCACTCTTGGATTTAGTACCTGTTACTGTTGAGGTAAGTAGCTGACCAATTCCATGGAATAGTACTTATTCGAAAGCTAAAATTTGCTTAGATATTTGAGTTCCCTGCCTGAAATTTTATTCTTGTGTTCACAAGAAGTCACTAAAAAAAACTTTATTTCCCTGTCAGTGTCTAGTTCTTGCATGTGGTATCTTCCCTTGGAGTTTTCAATCTAAAATTTTGTATGTTTTTCTCATCTTCCCTGTGTATGAGACAACTCTCTCTATCTCTCCCTCTCTCTCGCTCCCACTCCCCAGTTAACATAGTTGCATGTTTCCTTGTTTTTCCATGGCGTAACAGAATAAGGTTTCTTACAGAACGTGTGTTGACACACTACTTGTTTTTTTAACAGTTCGATATAGCTGCCACTGGTTATACAGAATCATTTAATTTCTTCAAGCTACTTAATTTTTTGTGAGAATTTTGTTAGCCAATATATTTTATTACATATATGCATTGTTTGGTTTCAGGTTGATGTTCCCTTCGATTTTCATCGTTCAATCATCGGCCAGAAAGGTAAGGATGTGCGTGAACTCATGGAAAGGTATGATGTCCATATTGTACTGTCACCAGCAGATCAGAGGCTTGACATTATAAAGGTAAGCTACTTGGTTTCTTCAGCATTTCTGGTAAGTGTTCTTTTGAAATATATGTCCATAAAGTTTGGCTGCTGGAGATTGTAATTAATCTCTTTACTGCCACATGTCCACATTTTACATCATATTGGCCATTTTGTACCTTCAAATTTTAAATCACTGCTGTTTACAAATTTAAACTCTGTATACTTTAGTTATCTGTTGCAGCTGCTTATGAACTTCTAGGGCATCCTCCTATCTTTGCCTGCATAAGAGGATACTTTATTTGTGTAATATTCCATCAAGATCACATCAAATGACGGGACAGGAACTACAGTAATGTCAAGTTTAAATCACTCTTAGGCGAAAGAGTATTTGGCATCCTGTGTGTTGCATATTTCTGTTTTAATTTTACATTTGCATTGGACAATTTTATAAAGATTAAAAAAAAATTGACATTTATAGTAAAATGTTAATATATTTAAATTTATGAATGATTAAAGTTTAGTATATTGTTAATTAGAACAGTTTTAGTCAGAAATGTCTGAACATGTGCCTGATTCTCGAGTGTTAAAAGGACTATGAGCGCGTAAAGTTATGGACATGGATTGTACTTTGCAGTGGGAAATTAAAGGTGAATGAATAGCATTCACAGGTATTGCTGACAAAAATGTAAAGACCATTACATAATTAGTGATAAAAAAAGAACTGAACAACAGTTATGTGATGAGCTGTTTGAATTTATATCTTCCTTTTTTTTAATTTATATCTTAATTGCGTCATGTTTGTGTTTTATTTGATACAATATTTTATTTTCCGTATATACACAAACTTAAAATAATGTTGTTTAAAATTACTTAAAATTATAACATTCTCAGTAGATACTGTATCTTGTTACATTTTGTATTGACGACATGTTTCGATGTGTATTAAAAAATCAAACAAATCAATATACGCAACGCAAGATGTGCAACAGTTTTTAAAATTGATAGACCTGATGATGATGTAATACACATCGAAACATGTCGTCAATACAAAATGTAACAAGATACAGTATCTACTGAGAATGTTATAATTTTAAGTAATTTTAAACAACATTATTTTAAGTTTGTGTATAGACGGAAAATAAAATATTGTATCGAGCTGTTTGAAATTACCTCTCGATTTGAATGCGTAATGTTGCATGTCACACATGCAGTGGACCTAATGGTCTACAAATTCTGTTATATGGGAACCATTTATAACCTATTTCATAGATTGGTCTTGCTTAAGTAAGGTGGTAGTTACAAGATGAGAGCTGCCCTACGTACAATACATGTTCATAATGTTTCTCTTGAATCTATTTTAGCTCCTGTCATTGCAGTTATGAAATAGTGCCACAAATTTGGTTGGTTGCTGTACAATGAACTGTAATATGTTTGTGGTAATATAGATATCGGGTACGCCAGCCTGTGTCGAGAGAGCAAAAGTAGCAATAGAGGAACGTTGCAAAGAGCTGGAAGCTGAGAGACAGGACCGCATTCTGAAATCATTTGAACTTAAGGTAATAATGATACGTTTTAATTTAATAACAGTTCAGTTGTGTAAGTACATACTGTTGTTGTGTGTTCTGTTTTCATATTGCAAGTTTATGTTATTTGCTGGCACAGTCACATTTATATGTTCATTTTTAACATGATTCTTGTAGTTCTTCTAACATAACATTATGACTTAACTACAGAGGTCCAAGTCCTCCTTGAGTAGTTAATAGTACATTCCTCTTTTGAAGAAACAAATTTTTTTGGTGTAGAGCCACTTGAACGACCACTGAGGTGGAACAGTAATATTAAGGTCATGCCCCCCCCCCCCAAAAAAAAAAAAAAAAAATTCCACTGGCTTTTCACTGTCAGAGCATAGGTTCAATCTCAGGGTACTCAACATGGATGCAATGGAAGTGAGGAATGCTGGAAGTACTTGTCTCAGTTTTCTCTTTTTTGTCATCATATTGCCAATGATTCATACATCTGTTATCACCTTCATCAGGGGATGGTGCAGTGGAACCATTTGACCCTGTAATACCAAGGGACTCTGTCTCATTACACTGCTATCACCATCATTGTTATTCTTATGACATTAAGGTGGTTCTTAAGAAAATAGATTGTTTGGGTTGTAGATGAATGGATTGTATACAGGATTGTGTCCAGTAGCAGGCTTTAATATTAGCAATGGTGGGACCATTTGGTTTCACTGTCAGAGTGAGGTAAAGCATAATGAAAATTTTCTGTCTCTTCAGATTGAAGTTGATCCAGAATACCATCCCAAGATTATTGGGAGGAAGGGCGCTGTCATTTCAAAAATTCGGTCTGATCATGGTGTACAGATCAACTTCTTGAAGAAGGGAGATCCTGAAGAACACATCATAACGATTACTGGGTACGAACAGAGCACGCTAGCTGCTAGGGATGACATCATGAAGATCGTCAACGATTTGGTAAATTGCACACTAGTTAGTTCATGTGTACAGAGTAAACTGAAATGCAATTGTGATCTGTAGCAGTCTGAATGAAGGTTTGTTAAGTCCAACTGTGTAGCTGTTCCATAATATTTACCTAGTGTAATTATTATCATACTTCAGCTTTATCCCTTTCACATATGGGTAATTAGTTTTGTGTCTACATAATATGTTACATGGCTGCTGCATTAACATTAAGGCATCTTGGAACTAAATATTAAGCATAGCAGTTATGTTCAAAATTGTAAGTTTTCTCTGGGTTATTTCAGTTTCAAGAGATGTGCAACCATGGGTACTACAAAATACCTAGATGTGAATTCCATTGTTTTCAGAATGACATGGTAAAAGAGGAGGTACATATTGATGCTCGAGTCCACTCGAGACTCATTGGTGCTCGTGGACGCAACATACGCAAGATCATGGAACAGTATAATGTTGATATCAAGTTCCCTAGAAGCACAGATGCAGACCCGGATATTGTCACTGTGATTGGTGCTGAAGAGAATGTGTTGGATGCCAGAGAACATCTTTTAAACCTAGAAGAAGAATATGTAAGCTATTTTGCTGTACAGTCTTGTCAGTTGTAGAATTTCTGCAGGGATGGTTGGTTAAAATTGGTAAGACCTTTTCCTTCCTGATAACATTCTTTACATAATACCTGCCCCCCCCCCCCCCCCACAAAAAAAGTTTGTGTAGATTGAACTTTATCTCAAATAATAGGGAAATTTGAGTTTGTTTACTGGTTAATGAATAATTATAATATCTGTGCAGATGCAGGATGTAAATGAGGCAGAGATAAGGGAAAGTTATCGCCCCAACTCCAGTCGTGGTGACGATGATGCTTCTTTAGGCCACGGTAGAGGAGTTTCTGGTTTTGTGGTGAAAGGAGGACCCTGGGAACAAAGAGCTCCTGATACAGCCAGCACGTCTGAGTTTCCGTCCTTTGGAGGTGGTGGAGATACTCCACAAAATGTCCCTTCTCCATCAGGTGCCTGGGGCTCTCGTCGTTAAGATATTCACTCTGGTTCATGGTAACATCTTCCTAAGAATGGGTTGCATCTTCTGTGTTCACATAATCATTTAGTAGTGAATTTCTCTTACTAAAGTAATTCTGTTTTTTAAGTTATGATATAAACTGACAGTTTATCATTTCGTTAGTTATTTACATATATGTACCTCCTTGGAATGGTACAAATTGATGCAATGCTCAGATATTGCTTTAAATGAAACTGCAGCATATTCTTAGGTGGAGCATGTTCATGTAAGTTTGTTCATTTATCTTTAGGAACTGAACTGAAGATATACTAGGAGTTAACACACTGTGTATACCAGTTAGATTGGGTTCAGTCATCTTTGTTGTCTTTATTGTAGCAATTAAACAAATATGGGATTATATAGAATGAGAATGGCTTGTCATTGGCCTAATTAAAGTTTTGTGTACTCTAATGGATTAGTATAATGACAGAAACAGCATGTTTGTCCTTGGGATGATTTGTGTTGGCATCTATTAATAAGGCAGCCCAAAACTGCAAATTTTGTATTCAGCTCATGAAAACATTCTGGCATAATTTGGTATACAGCATATTCATTTACTTGATGTCTTATCATTGGACTCCACTATTATATCTCTGACATAGTCAAAATGGAAGAGATAGAGTATATATGTAGTGACAGCTGGTAATAGAGCATAAAGTGATACATTGTCACAGCAGGTTGAAACGAATTTAGTATTTAAGTGATAATAGAACTCAGAGTACATTATTATTTTAATTAAAAAAGTCAGTAGTAATACTGTTGATATAACAAGACAGTCTTTTTCAAGCGTGACCAATCTCCTCAGCACGAATGTTTAAGTTGGACTAAAGAAAAAAGGAGGAATGTTGGTAAATTATAATACATTGTTCGGGTGGCTTCCCTGTCCTTCACTGACTGCTGCGTTAACGACCCTGGCCTGTTATCTCTGGACTCCGAGACTTGGTATTTGCTGATTGGATGTTAATTCAAAGGTCTTCCCTTTTCCCCCCAACCGTACCTCTGCCCCATGTATTTAGATTAACAATTCCATCCACATTTGTGGATGGAAAGGAAATGGTTATTAAGCCATGTTAGGTACCATTTTTCCAGATCTGGGGGGAGGTGGTTTCTGTCACATTATGTCACTTTTCCAAAGTAGTTCAGCATATAATTCCACAGGAATGATAGCTACAGCTTCCTGTTTATTTCCCAGTATACATCGACAGTTGAATCTGATTAGGTTTTTATCCCCCTGTTCACAGTTTTATGAAAAATAACCTGGTGGCTCAAAAAGTGGAAAATTGCTACATACTTTGACTAAGTGATCACAGTACTTACATATCGATATGTAGACTAAACAAAACATTTCTTGGCTTCCGCACAGATGGCCTTCCACTTATCCATTGTATTGAGCAAGGCCTAGTGGTATTGTAAATATGAGAAAAGCCTGTTTTTGTGAATGTGTGCGCGGATGGTGGTCATTATCTTTGTCATGAAGTTGAACAGTGGTATGTATGTTGGGACTAGTTCAACTTGTGTGTATATGTAATATGTGAAGTAATATATTGCTGCCAGCCCAAGCTTTTGTATCAGAAGTATATCAATTTTATATACATGCCTACATCTGATTGGGAAACTAAATGAAAATAAAAAAATTGTTAAGTCTGTCCATGACTATATTGAGCGTGTACAAGCTACAGAACACAAGTCCCACTGACTCTTTTTTGTGCAAGTCCTTAACTCTATGCAGGATTGCAGATTGCAGTGGGATGTCCTTGCTTATAATGGGGGAAAACTTGTTGTATGTTAACTGAGTTTGCTTTATATAGTATGTGGTCAGATGAAAAAGAAAGCCCTCATTAATTCTTGCATCAGGTGCATTGAAGAGATTAAATGCATTCATATAGTTGCTGTGTTCTATTACACTTTTGTCATTAGAATTTCTATATATTTAATCATCATTATGATTGTTGCAGGCAGGGACACGAAAACATACAATTTTGTGCCTTGACCGAAGTAGCCTCCAGATTTGTAAAAGCGAGTATTCAATTTTTCACATAAACATTTGGTTTGAAATATGGGATTTATATATATTTTTTTTATTATTATTATTTTTGCTTTCTGCATTCTTTGCTATTTTTGAGAAAATGACTGCCTTAGCTTAACAATATGGGTGAAGGAGGTGTACATTATAGCATATGTATGTTGCTTTAATTATTATTTCTACTTAGACATTTATCCTTTGTTGAGTTTATATTCACAAAAACTATACCATACAAACTTCTCAACTGAATATCAGTAGCCCCTTCTGTATGATACTGAAGTTTGTACTCTCCTAGGATTCGTGTATTAATATGCATGTATCAGTAATAGAGAAATGTGGTGCTATGCCAGGTAAGAATCCAAGTGGAAACTGAGTATTGAAAATAAAAATTAATATGTTACAAAGTAGTTGTCTCACCTTTTTACACCTACATCATGAACTATCAGGTGACTCAGAAATGTTTATATTTCTCCCTGTACATGGAATTTGTATAAAATGAGTTGAATGTACTGTGGTATCAGTTTTAAGTACTTCAATGAGAGGTTTTTCATGGTTTTGAAAATGTGGTGTTTTATTTCTCCTAGGACTGATTTGTGGTAGCAAGTACTATTCCTAATTTTGCTCAGTGTGAAGTAGGTTTTCTTCTTGTTTTCCTGGTTCTTTTACCAGGTTTATATCCACACCTTGATCATGTTAGGTATGAATCAACTTATTTCCATATGGCTGTATGTGTAAGTTTGAGTGTAAATTAGTCCAACTGTGAGGAATGACCGGCCTGTATACTTGGAAGAAATACTGATGTTCTTTTCAGACCTGGGCAAGCATAAGTGATGACTCGGTAGCAATTTCCATTGAAATTCTGACACCACACCTCGCATTGGGCCCAGAGGAGAATGACACCACTGTTCATGAATATTTGAATAATTCAAATTGTGTTGGTTCTGAGAATTTGCGTTAGGTGATGTGTACTATAACAGTTGCGTTTTACCTATCTAAGGTATGTTATTTGAAATAGTTTTAATTAAAACTGGTGGAATGGTTTCACCACTAAGAGAAAGTGAACTTTGTGTCACTGTGCTGCTACCTGCTTGAATTACAAGCACAGTGACACTCCAGTGCAATATGAACCAGTATGTGCATGGATAATGATATTAAAATATAAGGATTAAAACTATAAAAGCAAAGAAACAAAGCTTTCAAGAGCTTATAAAAGTATATATATTATGATACAGCATGACCTGAGAGGAAATTTCAAGACTTCATTGGTTGATTCATGAGGCAATTCTAATTGAAAAATGTTATATCAACATGGGCCTCATTCGTAACGTTTATCGAGATGTTTATACGAAACAAATTCATAAGTTGAAGTTATCCATGTTATTACCTGCTTTGTTCTCTGGGGGTAAAATTGTTAAGTATTAACACTGCGAGGGTTTCACTGCCGGAAAGTATCTGTGGTAGCACTGATAGGTACATTTTTGTGTGAGGTTGTTGTAACTGTGTATAACTATTCGAACTTCAAGTGCTTTTAGGATGGGGGTGGGGGTCCTCTGTGATGTAACTGTGCTTAAAAATGGCGAAGGAGTTTTGCCTTTTAAGGGGCTGTATGGGGATATTCGTCCAAGTAAGTGATCTGTATTTCCGATTTTAAAGTAAAGACAATGAAAAAGTCTATATTTTCACTCGTCAAGTTTAGTATTAAAGAATTGTGATAAATCTTTACAATTCGTTGCTCAGTTATGTACATCGCCTTTGCTCGCATAATGCCTTGACGTAATAATATTTTGTTAACAGGCGTCTGTATTTGTTATATATATAGACGTCTGTAATTGCACTAGCGATTTTGAGAGGAAGTATTTTCTCATTTCTATACTCGTTAGGTTAGTTTTTGGAAACGTAGCTGTGGTTACCTTACCAGAAAGAAACTGTCAAATTAAAGCTTCACCCCCCAAACGTAGGTATTTGTGGAACTTGTACGTGCACAAAAATGTGTTTCGATACTTCCTGAGCAATGCATTTGCCTACCAGCCATTTTCTTTCATAACCAAAATTTGCTTAGGAGCTTGTGCCTAGTGTTTAGATAGCATGGTTTTAAGTATGTATACATTTCCCTGTTTTCTGACATGGTAAAAACTTTAAACACCCTACAAGTCTAAGATCACATGGGGAATCCAAAGCATAAACAAATTTTTGATTTAAAGTCATTGGTGTATACCATTGCTGTTGAGCATAAACTATTTTGTAAATTACAGTTATTACCCATTTCACAGACTAAGTGGCTGATTATGACTTTTGTATTTCAGGTACGCAAGGTCCATGTGTCTGCAGTTGTTGCATCTGAAGCTGGGCAGAGGCTGAAGAAGTTTGACATTTACCGATGGAACCCAGATAAACCTGAGGAGAAACCTCAGATGCAGCAGTACTCTGTAGATCTGAACACGTGAGAATTAACCACACCTTGTATAGCATTGTATCATTGAAAAGTCTGTGTTGGGCTACAATCTTCCATGTAAATATTTGGTTTTATAATAATTATATCAAATAATACAAATGAATCTGTATTTTTACTATCTCGGAGAAGCATTGAAATGGTTTGATGTCAACAAAAGTCAGTTCCTGCCAATGTGTATAACTTTGGAACTTAAATAAATTTATGACAAAGAACAGCAGATTCATATTTTTATTAACATACTTGAAGACACATTCATACCATTCCAGATGTGGGCCCATGATTTTGGATGCACTTATTAAAATAAAGAATGAAGTGGATCCTACGCTTACTTTCCGGCGTTCATGTCGAGAGGGTATCTGTGGTTCATGTGCTATGAACATTGGTGGTGTAAACACACTGGCTTGCATCAGGTAAATGCATCAGTTTTTTTAAAATAATACTAAAAATGTAGTAAGGAAATCTCTGTTTATTCATAATATAAAATTTTGGCATGTGGGATTTAATACATGATATTTGTCTCCATCTCAGAAGTTAAAACATATCGTTGCAGTCTCTTCACACAAATTGAAGTTACTCAAGTCAAAATTCTTTGTAAGAAGAACATATGAACCAGTTTTGTTTTATAGCGGAAATATTCCTCAATTTACTTTCATTCCTGTACATTGAACTGATAATATAATGTTTTAATAAAATAATTTTTTTCAAGCATACAATGTCCTTATTGGTAGAATTAAATATCACTGTATTTTTGCATTATAGCAAAATAGACACCAATCTTAGCAAGTCTAGCAAGATCTACCCATTGCCACATATGTATGTTATAAAGGACCTGGTTCCTGACATGAATAACTTCTATACCCAGTATCATTCTATCCAGCCATGGCTTCAGCGCAAGGATGAAAAAAAGACTGGAAATCGGCAGTACCTCCAATCAATTGATGACCGCAAGAAACTGGCAAGTTTAAGAATCTTGGCGTTTTGAGTCTGGTGTTAACTGCAAGTTTACAAGTTAAAGCCATTACATTTGTACCATTGTTGCAAAACTAGAAACACAGAAAATTTATCTCATATGGATAATGAAGTTCCTTGCAGCTGAATGAATATCTATAAAAAAAAATTGAGGCAGAAAACCTGCAGCTCATTAATTGTTTATAATGAAGTGTTTTGATTTTTACTTCCATCAATAATTATACTGCAGAATGTAAGAACGGCTTATGTGTGCATTTATTCAAAACAGAATTTGACGTGTTACTATTTTAGGATGGTCTGTACGAATGCATCCTCTGTGCATGCTGTAGTACATCATGCCCATCCTACTGGTGGAATGGAGATAAATATCTAGGACCAGCTGTTCTCATGCAGGTGAGTCGTACTTACATGCAAATGAGGTAGTTATTTCAAAAGAATGGAAGACTAACTTATGGGAACAGGGTCTTTCTTGAGAAACTGATAAGTGCTCAACTGGTCATGATCTTGTAACAGTTCATAATAATGGAATGGGACACTAAGAATCAACACTTTGCCTTGAAAAAATTTAATCTACTAGTGACATAGGTTATATACAGGTTTTTACATTCCTGTGCCAGCTTATCTTAGCAGTTAAAAACTACAGATCAATTATTCATTTACTAGTAAATACCAATATAAATATAGATTTGTGTAAGAGAAGTTTCATAACTAAGGATAATTTGGTGCAAAGAAAGATGTGATGGAAGTTCGTTTTTCAGGCTTATCGGTGGATCATTGACTCGCGTGATGAAGCAACAGAAGCGAGGCTTGGCAAACTGAAAGATCCATTTTCTGTATACCGTTGCCACACAATTATGAACTGCACCCGAACTTGTCCGAAGGTCAGTAACTAGAAAAATTGGTATGTCCAATTTTCCATACAAGTTTTAAGTGAATTTTCATCATACAAGTCTTCATTTAATCTTACATTGTCTGTTACTCAATAGTGTATTTTAAGAATGCACACACATGACCTAAACAGGTATGTTATTCTTGTATGCAAATATAGAATGTATTTATTTATATTACATTTTTGTAGTATTTTAATTGTTTTATTTTCTTTTATAGGGTTTGAATCCTGGAAAAGCTATTGCTGAAATCAAAAAACTTCTATCAGGAATTGCAAAGAAGGATGCTCCAGATTTAAATACAGCTGCTTTGCAGAATTAACTGCATACTTCTTCATTGTAATGCAATCATACCTTCATATTTATTCATTACAATGAAGTAAGAAAGTGTAGAACAGTACCTGGATAATAAACTGATGTGCACATTTGTCTTGATAGATATGTACTTCTAAACAGAGTAGTTTCGTGTGAACATAAAAGGGTATAATAAGCACTTGTTGCATTGAATCTTGATCTAGAAATATTCTGTAATTAATAAAATGTTTTGTAGAGATTAGATTTGAGTTTTTCATTTACAGTAGTGAATGTAGTATTGGATGTTCATAAAATATATTCCTACTATACATTTGTAATTATGTGAAGTATACCAGCAGCCAGGACATCATGTCTGCTCTATATCTCATAATGTAACAAGCTGGAATGAAACTAGGGATGCTTTACAAACTGAAGAGAAGTATTGTCCCTTCAGACATCTCATCTGTTCAGTTTCAGTTTGTTTTATCCTGGGTTTGTATTCTGATACATTATATTGATTATTTACTTGTTTTTTCATGTGATATAGTTATAGTTATTCTTAATTTGTCATGGACAGAGGAATTTTCACCAGGGACAGTCAGTGTGGGCTATTGATGGTCTTTATTTTGGATTCTTTCTGAGGTTCTGATTTTGTTACAAGTTCCAGGATCTGCAATGATTAGATGCATCTTTCAGGCAGCAGCCCACATGAGTCAACTGTTCATGAATCTGAAAGTGAGAATTGCAAACTACATGCTGCCAACATATGCTCTACTGACTCCTCTACACATCAGCATGGCCTTATATCTAATCACATACTAAACTGTGTGACCCAAATCTTTGTATATATTTCATATTTCCTCCATGCTTTTAAGTTTAATATTTTTTAGTCTGATTTAAGTACTGTAATAGATTCCATCCACTACTATGGCAATTCTTGTTTGAAATAGAATGAGTTTGTGGCTCTTTGAACATAATGTGTTTGTTATAATTAGATCACTTCTGAAATAATTTGATGGGTGTATGAGGGGTGTAATACTTTGTAGTATGGTAGAAGTTTACCAACGTTTTAGAAGTCGTTGCTGCCTCTAGCGTCAAGTCTCGTTGCAAAAGAACCTCTACTAGACATCACAGCTTTACAACATAACCTATATTGAATGATGAAGATTTGTTAGTAGGAATCTCAAATACCGACATATCTACAGTTGTCATATCACGTAGTTGTATTAATCATTTCTGATGAATAAATGGTGGGGCATGCTTGACGCAAAGTTTTCAAACAGTTGTACTGAGTTGCACATCGGTGTTGTATTTCGTCTTAGTAATGTTGGTCTAATATATACGTGACGTCATAGGCGAAATGTGCTGCCAACGTTTAACATTTGAGTTACCGATCTGTATGTTGGTATTTTCTATGATATTGTGTGCATGTTGGTGGCAATATAAAAGTGAAGACCGTAATGTTTTGTGTTTTTGGTTGGTGTAAAATGGTTTGGAGATGTTGAGTAATATGTAAGTGAAACTGTGTGGTAAACTAGTAAATATTCATATCAGATGTGGCAGATTATTTCTGTTATCACACACTGGCTATTTGAATACTGGAATACACGCCGGAAAGGATACGAAGAAGAACATGGGAGGCTACTTCGCCGCAGAAGGTTATTGATGTTGCGTCTTTTGCGACAACGGCGTAGGAGAAATGTGGTAAAATCTTGTTGGGCTTATCCTACAACAGGACGATTTTGGGAAGAAGTTGTGCCAACATACAGCGACATCAGCTTCCTGAAACATTTTGGCATTGGTCGTGAAACATTTCAATGTCTTGTCGACGAACTGTACGTGGATTTAGTTAGAGAAAATACAAACATGAGACGATCAATTCCGGTAGATAAGAGAATTGCTGTAGCACTTACAGTCTTGAAGAACAGTGACGATTTTCTTTCGGTTGCCAAACACTTTGGAATTGGAAAGAGTACAGTACATCTGATTTTGAAAGAATTCAGTAGTGCTGTGTGTAAAACTTTGTATGACAAAATTGTGACATTTCCTGCTACAGTGACGGAAAGGGAAGAAATTGTGAATGCGTTCAGCAATACATGGCATTTTCCTGGATGCATGGGTGCATTGGGAACTTCACATATTCCAATTTTGTCACCATCACTGTCTTCAAGTAGTTATTTAAACAAGGAGGGATACCATTCAATAGTGCTTCTTGTTGTTGTAGATCATCAGTATACATTTAGGTAAGTCATTGTATTGCACTTGTATGAATGCTGAAATTCTGCAGAATATGTCACTGTGCATCAATGTCAGTACTCACAAAATAGAGCCACATGCTGCTTGCAGTTTCTGACAAGTTTTTCAGTATTTCTTGGAAGTTATGGTACAGTGAGCAAAATTGCAGCTGTGTTTTATCAGTCATCTGCACTCTCAACTCTGATTTGTTTTACTCCTTTAAGGAAAATTATTTGCAAGGTGTAAGTTGACACAACAATTAAAAACATTTTCCCTTGAAATTACTGTATTTGGATTCTCATAACAGTTAAGGAAATCAACACAACTGACTCATGTTAGAGAAGTTATTTTCATTTAAAAATCTTTTAAGATGTTCGGATAATCCACGTCAACAAGGAGTGCGAAATCAGTTTTCATCTTTCAAATGTTGGAACATATCATCTTTTTGATTCCAGTAACATTGATATTTCTTCCTTTATTTCCACACTCCTGAGGATTTTACCCAACTTCAGCTGTTGAACATTGGAGTGCTATATATATTAGTATATTTAACATCAGTATCTTGCAGCAGGGTTATGAAGTGGCTAATTCAGATATCTCCCTTATATGAAATTCAAGTTTTGTCCTTGGTGTGGTAGTTACAATTTTCATTTGTTGAGAGGGTACTAAATTATATTTTTATTAGTTGGGAGCTGTGATGAAGGAACTTTGTCAGTTTTCCAAGACTGATGTCAAAATTTTACATTGAATTCAACCCTGGCCATTTCGTCATACATCACTTCCAATTCACAATTCATGATCGTCACTGAAAATTTATTGTATACAATTTATTCACTTCTAGTAAATAAGGGTTGAAGGATTACCATTTATTATGGTGTTTTCAGGTATGCTGATGTGGGACAACCAGGCGGAATGAATGATGCAGAAATATTCCTGAAAAGTGAATTATATAACTTTCTTTGTAGAGAGGTGCTACCAGAAGAATTTCACTTAATTGCAGGTTCATCATTTCCTCTACGAAAGTGGCTTATGACACCTTTTCCATCTAATGAATCAAAAGATTCAATGCAGAAAAGATATGATTACCATTTACAAAAAGCCACCACACCTGTAGAGATAGCATTTGGTCACTTAAGAGGACGTTGGAAAATCTTATTTAAACGATGTGACTTGCAACTGGACAATATGATCAATATTGTTAAGACTTGTTTGGTTCTTCACAACCTCTGTGAAAGCAATGGAGACCATTATTTTGATTCGTGGGATGAAAATGTTTGTGAAGAAAGGAAAACATTTGTACAGCCATTACACGTGGAGAATCTGACAGATCGTTCTCAAGAAGGATTTTCAAAGAGAAATGAATTGGCTATTATTCTGTATTAACTAATATGTTAACATTGATTTAAACATGTATTTTGAAGTAAGAAAGAGAAACATTAGAAGTTCATATATTGTATTTTGTTCGACCCTTTAAATGCAGTGACTGTATTGAGCTTAGAATTATAGCATTGAATTGGGTACAATTAAATGGCATGTTTATTTGTTTCTGTACATGTGTCTGTTAAAATGACCTTATTTGAATAAATTGTATTGCAATGAACATTTTATAGAAGATTTGAGAACAAAGTAGTTATTTGTGTAAAATCTATTTATGTTATGCTTGTTTTAGCATTTTAAAATGCAAGCTGTTACAAAAAACTTAAGAAAATGTACTTGACTATCATTTAAAACCTGAGTCTTTTGTTCACATCCTCATGCTGTGTTCTCTACTTCACTCTAAATTTCTTCTTCATGATATTTGTGCTTATACAACTATAGAGGAGATATCTATTGAACAACAGTAGAAGTAGAAGTTTTATTACATCCTTAATTCTGTGAGTACTTATCAGTATACGTTTTATCATTGTTTAATTGTTTAATTTGACAAATGTGTGTCCAACCTGTCATGCTCATTTTCAGATGTATTATATTGTTTCCAGCTGTAAAAAAATGTTGGCCATTATGAATTGTCCAGTTTTGCTGAAATTATTGGTACTGTTATGTAATTTTACTGTAATGTGCATCATGGTATATTCAGTTATGAAGTTGAAATGGTTTTGCCCCAAAGCATTTACTTCAGTCAACTGCTTTCTTTCAGCATTCTACTTTACTATGATAAAACAAAGTTTTTTCTTATTATTACTTATTTGTTCCTGTATTTGATATCTGAAGTTCACAGAGCAGTTAACATGTTGAATGTCTTGTGTATTATGGTTCTATTTGAGTATCTCACAGCAGTGAGTATGAAGATTACAGTCTTCTGGGTTGTAGCATTGAGTGGTTTTGTAGATGTTTGGTAAACTTCTACCAGACTAAATGGTGCTGCAACTGTGGAAACAGTCATCTTATGATGCTATGTAATCTCAGGTGTGGTTACTATCAGGTTAAGAGGAACTCATTGCAACATACTACATTTTTGTTTAGGGCAGGTAACGCAGAAGCCCATACTCCATTTTCTCTCATTGTGTTGTGCTCAAAGCTTTTGGCTATATATTTTTACCCGACCAGATATCCAGCAGCTGAATTAAATTTACACCCTTACATCATATTTCCATAAGATTCATTTCAATATTGCCTCCCCCAGGAGATAAAATAAAATGCCAATTCAATATTAACAAAGGTTAAAACACTCATAAAGAACAGTACAGGTAGTAAAAGTACAATTATTGTGAAACAATATGAATAATGCCTTTCTCTTCTTTAATTACTAAATCAGGATGTGCTGATGAGAAACAATATCCATACTCAATTCATGAGATGCAAGGAAAGGGTTTTCGCACCACATAAATGCCTCGTTTATTTGGGTAAGATGATTATTGCTAACAAATTACGATAATAGGAACCAACTAGACACTTCTAAACAATGTTTTCTAGAACATTGCATTAAACGTTGATGAACTGTAATTGTCGCGCTGCGACCGCTTTAACCCGAAAAGGTTCTTGGTTATTGAATATGAGTGTGGGTAACATGGGCGTTCCGAACGAAAGAAAGTATTTGCAATGACTGGACGCTTTCGGTCCATGAATAAGAAGAAAAAATTAAAACATTAATTGTTACTCGTAGTAATAGCCAGAAAGTTCCTTCAGTGTACGTTTTTACGTTGCTTTATGGCGGGAAATAATGTGTTCCGAATTGAAGGTAGAGAAATAAATTGAGGGCCAACTAACCTTGTATAAGTTGGTAGTTGTGCTGCATGTGAAAAGTATAGGAGGTAGTTTGGCGCGATAATTATTTCAATTATATATTGCAAATGTGAAGAAGTGTTCACTGTATGCAGGTCTTTGAATTGCTGTTGTTGTAATACTACTTTTGTCGTGTCTTCAAATCTGCTTAAATAAAGCATAAGGCCACTGTGGGAAAATAGTGAAGTGTAACCTAACATGAAAGCAAAGGTTAATATGTCTTACAGAGAGATTTTATTCTGGAGAGTAGCAGCAGCTTTATTTTGGGGCTTTGTTCTACAAGCTGTGTTTTTAATTGCGTTCGTGCTCGTAGTGAATTTTAACCTTTGGCATCCCATCGCGTGGATTCAACAGTCATTAGCCTTCAGTGTGTCATTGAGAACTTGGCTATACTTGGTTCCTCTTGGTCTGGTAATTTGTACACAAGGTATAGTGTGTGGCAAAGATTTTCTTGTGGTGAACAGGTACTGTGGTACTCGATTTGCTGTTTGCTGTAGTATGTTCTCACCTCATACATTGATCATAGGTACTTCGTACAGTGTTATTGGTGGACTTATCACATGGATTTATTTATCTCTGCTTGGAGGAAAGTATGGGAAGATGCTTGATGTATGCAGTAGTGATGACAAGAAGACCTGCCTAATTGAAGGATACTTATTTCTAATATTAAACGGTTTCTGGATAGGTATTTATTTTTTTGTACATGACCATGTTTTTGGGCTTAAGGCTCTGTTGTTCCCAATAATTCAGCAGCTGAAGTTCTTGCAGGTAAAATCAGAACTGCAACCACTTATGAAACAAGCAATGATTGATGCTGTTTCACCAACCATGTATTTTGTTATAATGTATTACTGGTATGGAGGAGCTGTTCGAGGTTATGTTAGTGACTTCTTGAACTGTAATATAGAAGAGACATCCCAAGGGACAATATTTAGACTGATGAATGTGTCCCTGTTATTCTATTCATGGTTTTTTAATAGTACTTTTATTTTTGCCATATATACCATGAAGCTCATGTTTCAAGTAAACTTGACTGAACACGTTGTCTTTCCAGTGACACCTGTGTTTGGAAATACTGATTGTCTTACATTGCATCAGAGTTTGGCTCTGACAGACATTCCTATTATATGTTACTTGGGTTTCCTTGATCTTAAGATTTTGGCTGAGAAGGACCATGGCAGAAGAGAAGAGTTGTTTGCATTAAGTCATCCTGGTGGACATCCTTATAATTGGAATGCTGTAGTAGAAGAAAGTTTGAAGGTTATAACAAAATTCACAGAAGATTTAAATCAAACAAATATTGAAGCACAATCTACACCAGAAAACAAAGAGCATTGCATCCCCAAAGATTATTTTCCTTCAAAAGATCCTGCAGTTATTCCAGCTGGACACCATACCACTTCCATATCTAGGATGAGAAATATGTCTTTGAGAATTCAGAATGCGCCTGATATATCACTCTACCAATCTCCATCAAATAGTGCCCAATTCCAGTCACCCCCAGTCAGCATCTCACAGGAATCCATAACTAGGGTTCTGAAGGTGTATGCCAGTCGGGCTGTGGGTGTGTTATGCAGGAAGCCTGGCATTTTCTTCGTATTTGGTGAACTTCCTGATGCTAAGGTGAGATACCACCTGGCTCAGTGCCAACCAGTGATCTGGGCCATTCAGGGTTTGTCTCGCCTGGCAGCGTCTTCTTTCAAAGAAGACCATTATGGGGTTGTGCAGAAGGACTTGCCAGCCATCATCACAGCCCTGTTTCAGCTGAAACAGGCTATGGACAAACTACAGAAGATTGGAAATTATAAGAGGTCTCAAAAAGTTGAGCATTATGATATGAAAATGAAGGCTGCTTTGCAATCTGCTGTGAAGCAGAGTCTGTACTGTATCTGTGTTACTTTTGGTGACTATGTGAAAGAACTGCCATTAAGAAAAGACGTTTTACAGCAACTTCATAATTTCTTGATGTTTAGAGAAGGGTGACTTTTCATTTTGGAAAAACAGTGGATAAGAGCTTTGTAGATGATAATATTGTATGCAGTAAAGACTGTTCTTTTTTGCAATTATTGTGCGAGTACTTTTTGTGCACAGGAGTCACTAACCTTGCACAGCAAAATCTTGTGAGTGGAGCAGTCTGTTGTACATGTCTCATTGTAATGGTGTGTGCTGTTGGAGAGTTGGATGTAGCCCGCAAATAACGGATGTTTTTGGAACAGAGATAACATATATCTCAAGTCATTCTCCTTGCCTATCATAATTTTTAATCCTTGCTGTAATCAACCCACAAGTTTTGGCTGTGTGAGACTTAGTGCATGTGCCAAAATTAGTGTGCTGGTGAATACACGAATGTATTATGATTAATCAGATAATGAAATGTCTAGGAAGTCATTACATGTTATTGTTTAAGTTTTCGCATGAAAATGAATTGGAATATGTCTACCAAATATGCATGGCTCAACAAATCAAACTAATTACTGCTTATCTGTTTTCTCTGTTGTGCTGAATGTTCAGTCATGTGTTAAGTGAATTTTTATTTAGCTGGTGAATTAGGTTACATTTGTTGACCATGAGTGAAGTGTCTATTGTTGCTGCTATTATTATTATTACCACCACCACCATCATTACATTATGTACATATCTGAAAAAAATGTTCTTGTCACAGGCAGTGAGTACAGCATTATCGTTAGTATAAATGTATGGGTTTAGAGATTTTCAGTAAGCATGAATTAATCAAGTAGATTTAAATTGTTTTTCTGGAACTTAGATTGTGTGCAGTGTGTGTATCATTGTATTTCCTGGTGAAAAGTATTTGTATCTGATGAGTATCAGCATAATTTGAGTTGTGAACTAATCAGACATTTTCTGACCCTTGTCCTTCAGGTTGGATACCTCAAATGTATAGTTTCCTTATGCCAAGGTTTAGGGGTTTTATAGAGTATGCTGCAATAATCTGACATATTTTGAAACACACTAACACAGAAGGAAATACTTTAGTCATAAAAAGTGGATTACACAAGTCAGTAATATATTTAAGCATTTTAGTCTTCTAACATTAATTATTTTGAAAATGCCTTGAA